TACTAAAGGGCTGAAATGACTGCATAAATAATTTTTAACAAACTTAAACATTTGTTTCTTTCACTTTAATACAGCAATCCACAAGGAGTCTAGTCTGTCCCAATGTTCATTTATAATTGTTAGAGTAATGATTTTTTACACCTTCAGAAAACAAACCTCAGGCGCATGTTGTTGTGGCATATAAGATGTATACTGCTTAATGGCAGTAAAGTCCCCAGTTTCAGTGTGATCATGAGCCATTGTGGCATGTCATCTCACTGACACATCTCACTCTCTTGCTCACTCTCTCCAAATGTTTACTGTCTCTACTGTCAAATTGTCCCCCCAAAAACTTATTCATATATACCCAGTGACTACACAGGATTTTGCACGTCATGGTATTCCTTGAAAGTGTCCAACACAAATCCATAGGGCCTTAAATCTAATCTTAACAGAAAACATAACAGAAAACCGCGAGATTTGATTTAATGATTATTTTGACTATGGTTGTTTGACTATGGCAGCGGCAGGACCGTAGGAAAAAAAGGGGCTCAATAATATTCAATGTATGACTAAAATATGAATCAAATGTGATATTGATGAGATAAACTTTGAGCGTTGGCGTTTTCCCCCCAAATAAAGGCACACTGTCATTAGTCTGCTCATTGGCTTTTTAAAATGTTCCTCCTCATTTGCTCTAACTCTACACTTTCTACAAAAAGCCCAAGTGTAAATAATATGAGAGAAGGGAAAGCCAGGGCAGCTTAGTTCTTGTTCATGTTTGCATTAATTCATTTATTCATTTTGCTGTTTATTTTATGGTGAACAAGCAGTTGAATGTGGGTCTCTGAAACACATTGATCTTCCCTCAAAGCCACAAGTCACTCTACATACCTAACATTATCCAGTATGCTGGAGAAAGAATGACCATGTCCTTGTCAGTCTAAATCAGTGAACTATAATGCAAAAAACATGAGTCCAAAATATTGCCATAAGCAGCAGTGTTGAAATGAGAAATACACATTCGGCTGTCAGGGGGGGAAAATGCTGCAAATTGTTTCTTAAGACTAAAAATCTATTCTGCTAGACCTTGGTGGTCCTAGGGGGAAAGTTGTGCAGCAAGTTGGAACATCTGTCAAGGCTAAGTCATGAGAGAACAAACCCACTTCGCTGCTCTGCAGACTGACTTTTTGATGTGATCAGTTCTTCCACATTTTTCAATAAAAAGCATGGCTGTGCATTAATCAAATATAAGGTTTGTGCAAAAATGTGTGCATTTACTGAAAAACATGGTGTACTTTTCATCAAAGAGGGACTGGGCATCAGTGCCGTGGATGTGTAACAATGCATACTAACGCTATTACGAGGCCAATTCATATAGCTATAGTACTAGTGAAGGATCGCCATGAATCTGGTTACAAGTTTAGGACATGAATATTTGTAAAGTTCGATGTTGCTCTTATAAACATAGAGCCTTGAGTCTTTTTTGTATTCTTATACACAAGCCAGAAGCTTTGAGGTACTGCTGAACAAAATGTAGTCCCACATTTTGTTCTTGACTCACCACTACCCACGTGGAAAATGGCAGGTGATTAGAGGGTTTCTAGTGCCTTGTTATTTCAAAGTACATGACACCCCCATCTTTTTCCAGCTGTCATACTCTTTATGTGTGCTGGAACATTCTTCTTGTGAGAGGAACCATTCAGATACATACGTATTAGGTCTGTTCTGTACATGTAGACAGATAATACTAAATAGCAACGTATGATGAGAGACAGAGGGCGTGATGAGGAACATAGGAGGGGTGTAAAGATTATTATTAAGTCAACATAATTACAGGCTAGTGAATATTTTCACGTGGAACTTTAAGCTACAATGTGTGTTTCCCACAAAATTATAAAAATATAAAGCAGTCTATATGATGGCATGGTGAGCACCGGTTTACTGGTGAATTCCTATTGTTTTGACTCCCTGGATTTGCTCTGTTCACATTTGACTAATTAGCACTGAAACTCTGGCTCATCCCTGCAGCCCATCTCTATCACCCACCAAGCACAATGAAACTTTTGGAAAGTCCAGCCTCAGATTTGTGACATACATACAGTATACAGGATATGGGGTCTTTCTGCACAGCAGCTGCTCCGCTATGATAAGGCCACATGTGGCGATTCTGGGGTTTGAGCCTATATGGGAACGTGAACGTTTCAAAAGTGTCAGGTAATGAGCGAGGTAATGAGTATGAGGATTGGGCACTCATCAGACTGTTTCATTTGCATAACATCTTGGCGTGCATGCCGCAAATGACAAAAAAAATTCCCTACTTATCACAGAAGTTAATTTATTTGAATAGACAGTCTGTGAGAGCTGGGGAGTCACTATTAGAAGCCAAATCAATATTCACCAATGTATGCCACATTGTTATTCAGCAGCCGGAACACAACAGAGCAGACTTGTCTAAATCAGTCTTGCATATTTGTGTCATTCTTACAGTCAATATGACAATGGCTTAAGATTATTGTTGTTTGGCCTGAGGATGTATGAAGCAGGTTTTGTATGCTTGTCTGGTTACCAGGAGGAGTAACCATATAAAAGCCATCAAAAAGACCCATAATAACTGTTAATGAAGCAATACAGATTCTCGCTGCAATAGTCCCCTAAACTCTGACTAAAATCTGTACTGAGTCCATGCACAGAATCAAATCAGAGTCAAATACTGTGCATCTTGATTACAATGAGTTGCTTGTATTGCCATAGGAGAACATCACTACTCGTCAGTTTTTTGTTTTGTTTTTTAATAAATGACCCATAACCCAAATCAATAAAATACATTATGTAAGTTTATTCCTACAGTGAAGCACAGAAAACAATTTCCTGTGTGTGGTGGAAATAAAAGTACTTGAGTATTGTCATTTTCTGCTGCTTTATAATATATTCCACTACATTTCAGATGGAATTAACTCTTAATACAGTAATATAATGATATTTTAACATCTATAGTTAATCTTGTACATTCATTTTTTACATACAAAACATTTGATCAGTCTGAAATATGATGTATTTATACAGTTCAAACAACTCAATTTCAATTCAAATTCAAAGAAATTTATTTATCTGTTAGGAACTTAATTTGTACTGAGCATCAGTGTGTGTACTGTCAAACACAGCACAATATACCACACACATACATTACATATAAGTAAGAAACAGTTTTAAGTAAGTACAATACTCAATAGTATATAAAGTAGTTATAATGAGCTTCTTGACCATCTATACCATTTAAATGTACTTCAAATATTAAAATGCAATATGAATAATAATCCAGTAAAGTAAAGATTTTTTTTTGTTTTTTACTGATAACCCTGCACTTTCACTGAAGTCAAACATTTCAGTGCAGGAAATTTTTTGGTGATTTATTTGTATTTGTATTTGTCGGTATCAGTAAATTTACTTACTGTAAGTAAAGGATCTGAATGCCTTGCAGAATATCACTTCCTCATGTATATACACAACACAGCTGTTACTTTCATGCTTTCAACTCTCAACAGCAATGAAAGGAGCCTTCCTCCTGTCACTCTCCGCCCTATCCTCACCATCTCCATAACCACACAGAACCTGTTGCTTCTTGAGGAAGACCACGCATAAAAGCAAATAGCTTGACATACAAGACCACAAATTTTACCTTACTACAAAACCAACCTGCAATTACTTTTCCTCCACACATTCACACAAGGACATACAAACCGTCGAGAGTAGATTCACATCTGGTCCATCTTTGTTCCCACATAACAGTCATGAAAAAGTAGGTATTCAGAGGACACACCAGGAACTCTTCAAACAGACATCTCAGCGGCACCACTGCTCTGTAATCATCAATAACAATGACCGTATTGAGTTTAAACAAAGTGCTATCCTGGTAAACGTTTACTGTCTGGTGAAACAGCCAGTTTGTTCCTGCGTCTCACACACTCATTTCCATCACAGATGGCTCCTGCAGGCTTTTGCCTTTCAGTTAGAGGAATAAGGTTATTATTATGAATTATAGGGGGAATGGGTAAATATCTGTTGTATCTGTGCATCTATTATTAGAGTAATAGCCCTGAAAATTGTGAGGAAAGATAGACTTTCAATGATCCACTTTTCCCTTTCTGGCTTTTGAAAGACTAGTGTGCAACCATTCTTTCAGGACTACCAGCTACTGTACTTTTGCGAAATCCTGTCATTCCCATTATCTCTATACTGAACAGTTAGGCATTAATTACTTGTTTACAGCTCATGTGAGAATCTTTTCCCAGCTGGTTGACTTTGTGACATGCCCCCTGCAGAGCATATACATTCTATCTATTTCATGTGATTTCACAGAGCTGATGAGTCTAATAAGGGACAAGCTTGCCACACACCATCACACATCAGACAAAGCACTCAGCCCTCAGCCCTGCAGGCTGTGTCAATTTGCTGCGGTTGATGTCGGCTCTTGTGGCTTGTTGGGGATTTGTTACAGAACTTTCACAGCATTTTCTTGTTACTGTGAATTGTAATATAACCAAAGATGAAGAAGAATTTTTCAAAGCAACAAAACTTTGTGTTTCTTTGCATATTTTCAAAACTTCCACTTTAATTGTTTTCCAATTTTTACATAAACGTAATTACAGATTCAAATAGAAGGCCCACAGAGAAGAATAAATTGAGCTGTTTATTCCTGAGGTAAAATTAGAAACTTATTCTCTAGTTACACGGTAGCTGTATAAAGTACCTTGTAAAGAGTACCTTGCTGATTATTTTCCATCTTACAGTGTAATCAAAAGATTTCAGTAGTGTGAGAAAAAGAAAAGAAACACCTCCATTCTTTTGAATTTGAATAAGGCAGATCAATCATTAAAATTCAGTCATTATTTCCATCTAAATGATCATGGAAAGAAATGGTGTTATCATTTTTTAATAGGCTACTGCTCTCTGGTGGTGAAGAGTAGCAGCAGCATTCCAGGAATCAGCCTATGAGTCTGTACTAAGGGTTATCAGGTGTTGACATATCTCAAGTTGCATTAGCAACTAAATGAGAATCATGTAGCAATGAGTTCAGAATCAGAACTGGAAAAACTGTCTTTGTCAGTTTTGGAGCCTATCAGGCATGCTACTGTTGTGTCACAGTGATTTATATTCACTGGTCATGGCTACTAAAGCTTTTGCGGGCTCAAGGCTGACAGTGGAAAACAGAATCAGAGGGTTACCACATTTTCTGCATGTAAGGTAAGACCTCAGATGATACACAAAAAAAAATCATGTTCAACCTGCAAGCTAACTTCAGTGAGAATTTTCACACTGACATTTCACATTACAAGCATATATCTGCAATTGTGTGTAATAGAAAAGAAAAGAGAGTCTCAGCGCCAAATGAAGTTTCAGCTGTCACAGCTGAAGACAGATTCAGACCAGCAAGTGCAAGTGTTTGGAGGTTAACAACCTTCGGTATGACACCCTTTCCCCTTTACAACAGCTTTTTTCTTTCCTCTGTTCAAACAAGCTGTTCCTTGTTCACTACCACATGCTGTACAAGCGCGCGTGCGCGCGCACACACACACACACACACACACTGCAAATAGACATTTAATATCCATGTCCAATATAATGTCCAGCCTATCTAGATCTAACCAGTCTACACTTACAAAACAGACAGCACAAGACAGACAGCCCTACCTAACCTACAGAAACAAATCTATTCTACCACTCTACTACCTCCTATAAACTCAGGCACACACAGAAAGTTAAGCCACCCACACAGAGAGTTAACAACAAATGTTGACCTGATGGTGGTGCCAGATTTAAAGTCAAAGGATCACCAAAATGATTACAATAAATCCTGAGGAAACCATCAATGTGTATGAGATTTCATGGCCATCCATTCAATAGTTGTCAAGACATTTCACTACAAAACAAAAATGTCAACAACAGTGGTTGTTGACATGACCATGAATGTCCTATCCATCCTAGTTATTGAGAAATTTCAGCCTGTACCAGAGTGGTGGGCTGACAGATTTACACTGCCATCCATAGAGCCACAAATGCTAGCATGGCTAAAAGCAACAAAAGAAGACAAGAAGACAGAAAGTAGTGAACCTCAAGTACATCTCTGCATCGTGGATGCAAACACACAGCATGTTGCCAATGAGGGAAAATGAGCTGCTGTTGGAAAAGTAGACTGGCTAAGACTGCTCTTTCTGTTTTGACCAAGCTTCTTGGACATCGCACAAACAAGCTAAACTCAGCCTGTGGCTGTGTCCTTAAAATACACTCTCCAAGCAGTATCATAATACTCCCACAAGTCCTTTAAACACAAGTTGGTGAAGAGAGAGAAGAGATACAAAGAAAGAGGGGATTATAAAAGATTAGCTCTAGGGCTGCCTCAACAGATTTAGGAGACCACTTAACTCAAAGGAGAAAAACTGTTTAGTGAGGCGACTTTCAAATGCTTTAAAACTTTTTATCTTTCGCAGTTGAAAAACAGTACGGATTTGGGGAAATCACAGTGCATCCTTGCCGTTGGGTGTAACCTGCAGACCATTTTATAAATTAGCACTTTATTTGAATGTAATCTCAGCTGTTGTAGTGGATATGAAGAATACAGTAACTTTAGGCTACTTGGCTTACTGGTAAATGTTAGCAAACTTATACAACATTGTCATACAACATGTCAGTGCTGCTTATTGCTAAATAAGTTCATGAGTTCAGTTACATAGTCTTAAGTCATGGTACACAACTGAAACAGTAGACTACAGGAGTGTGATAGTAAGTCATAGAGTATCTTGTTATGTATGTCATGATTTGCACCTTTGAATCCAGACTTACTACCAAGGTGCTTGTAGCCAAGGTGAACAGTTACATAAAGTCTGCACACTTACAAAAACTATAAGAGGCTCCATCCATCCATCGTCAACTGATTATCATGCGTACAGGGTCGCGGGGGGGCTGGAGCCAATCCCAGCTGACATTGGGCGCAAGGCGGGGTACACCCTGGACAGGTCGCCAGTCCATCGCAGGGCCACACATAGACGAACAACCACTCACGCCCACACTCACACCTAAGGACAATTTAGGGTAACCAATCAACCTAGTCTGCATGTTTTTGGATGGTGGGAGGAAGCCGGAGCACCCTGGAGAGAATCCACGCAGACACGGGGAGAACATGCAAACTCCACACAGAAAGGCCGGGGCAACCGGGGTTTGAACCCCGCACTCTCGCTGTGAGGCGACAGTGCTAACCACCGCGCCGCCCTATAAGAGGCTCCGCAGATGCAAAATTTCATTTCATATCTAAAAGCTGACATTCAGCTTGTATTTAATCTAGGGCCTTGAATAGACTATCAGACAAAGAGCAGGGACAAAGAAGAGGTGGTAAGAATTACAGCGTATTTTCCATGAACTCATTAATAGGTTGATGAGTCCCATTTTGGAAATGAAGTGAGTGGATCATTTTGCATCAGAAGAGCCTGGTGGGTGGGCCTAAACAAGACCAGACAGGTTTACCATTCTTAAAAAGATATTGATTGGATATCAAAATTCAAATCAGTCACATGTTCATTTGCATTTGAGAGGAGAAGAAGAGAAGTGAAATAGCCCAGCAACAATTGTGATTTATATCAAAATAAAAACTATTAAGCATTTTTAATTTCAAAAGACAGATGATGGGAAGCAATGTGTAGCATTTGTATAATAAATATGTACTGAGAATGTACTGGGGGGTGGATTCTCATATTTGAAAACCAAGAGAGTGCAGCTGTGCTTTAAAGCCAAATTATCTGTGTCCATTTAGCCTGAGCGATTTCAGTTGCTCAGATCTACCATTAAGAAGAATCTGCTTCTTGATAGAGATATATGGATTGCTTGGCCATGGGGTTTTCCTGTAGTTGCCATTCTCATTTTAAGACAGAAGGGGGCAGAATTAGGTCATTCACATAATTAAATAATCTTAATGTGGAAATGTGTTTTGTACATGAATCAATTTCCCTGCACCTGGCTGTGTGCATGTGAGGATTGAGGTTCCAGCTTATTAGTGTCACGCTCTGCCGGTTGGCCATCCTTTGTTTACTTTTGAGTTTGGTACAGACAGATGTGTGAGAATGAAGGGGAAATGAGCTGGATGGGCTGTCAGAGGGGGGCTGTTTCCATTCCCTGGTTCCCCCTTCCTTTATCTGGCTCACTGACCTCTGGCCACAGTGCTGGTTGTATCTGCGCCTTGTCTGTTGAGGACCACCAGATCTCATTTTAGATTGGCCTCTTTTAATGTGAGGCCAAAGAGCACATTCAATGTGTCATTTATAAAACACTCGGGGCACAAAGGACAGGGGGAAAAGAAGACAGAGGAGTGCATGAGGAAACCTATTTTGTAGCAAGTGGCCGTTGATTCCTCTATTTCTTCCTCCCACCTTTGTGCACAGCCGGACTACTCTGTGTCAGCATCCTGTTTCCTATTTCCGTGTCTACCATCTTCAAATTGAGAGAACTGTAGGGTTAATTATGTAACCCTTGTTCCCCGAGAAGGGGAACACTGCGTCGGTGACGACACTATGGGAACGCCTCTGGGCGTGGCAGGGCTGAATTATGAATGAAAATACTCCAATCCTATTGGTGTTGCTAGAGGTGTATATAAGCACGCTGGCACACAGGACACATTAGCCCTTTTCTATGAAGCAAGGCAATCCACGCGGGGTGAGGTGTGGCAGACCGACACAGTTCGAGTTCCCTCGAAGGGGAACGTCTCGGGTTACGTATGTAACCCTTGTTCCCCGAGAAGGGGAACGAGACACTGTGACGACACTATGGGAACGAGATACCCACTTAGGCCGCGCCGAAACCCCATCCTTCTCCTGGATGGGGCTCTAGAGCTGAGTAGTGTCTCGACCGCTCCTGCCGGAACTGCGCCCCCTCAGGGGCCAGACCCACAGGTGCGGGTGAAAGATCTGGCCCTCCACCTGGGACAGCAGGTCTCTCCTCAGACGGACCTGCCAGGGCGGGCCCTCCAGGAGCAATATTAAATCCGAGAACCACACTCGTGCCGGCCAAAAGTAGTAGGCTGACGCTGTCCTGAAGGACCCGCTCCAGAACCCCCGGGAGCAGAGCGACTGGGGGAAAGGCATACAGACGCTGCCTGGGCCACATCTGCACCATGGCATCCAGCCCTAGCGGGGCTGGGGACGAGAGGGAGAACCACAGGGGACAGTGCGTAGTCTCTCGAGACGCAAACAACTCCACGTCTATGGGGCCGAACCTTTCACATAATAACTCCACCACCTCAGGGTGGAGTCTCCATTCCCCGAGCCTCAGCCCCTGTCTCGACAGGAGGTCTGCTCCCTGATTCTGGGTCCCAGGGACGTACATCTCTCTGAGAGACAGCAGTCTCTGCTGGGACCACAGGAGGATCTGATGTGCCAGTTTGCATAACAGGCGCGAGGGCAGACCCCCCTGGTGATTCAAATAGGCCACCACTGCCGTATTGTCGGCCCTGACAAGGACGTGGCGACCGCGGAGAGCGGGCAGAAAACTCCTCAGAGCTCTGAATACTGCCAACATTTCCAGGCAATTTATGTGCCAGGAGAAATGATGCTCCTGCCAGGAGCCTCTTGCAAAGCGGCCATCCATGACCGCGCCCCACCCCGTGAGTGAGGTGTTTGTCGAAATAATTGTTCTGCGACAGATCGCTCCCAACACGGGCCCTTGGGACAGGAACCAAGATTTCCTCCATACAGACAGGGAACGAAGGCACCTGCTCGTAACCCGTATCAGACGGAGCGGATGTCCCCTCGGGGAGAATGCCTGGATTTTAGCCATCACTGCAGGGCTCTCATGTGCAGTAGTCGAGAAGGTATTATACTGGATGCTGCTGCCAGGAGACCCAACACCCTCTGAAAGTGTTTTACAGTGATGGCGCGGCCTAACTGCACTCTGGTCACTGAAGACAAAATGGACTCGACGCGTGTGGGAAACAGGTGGGCCCGCATCGTCGTTAAGTCCCACACCACCCCTAGGAACGTAGTCCGTTGGGCGGGCGTCAGCACGCTCTTCTTCGCGTTGAGCCGCAGCCCCAAACGCTGAAGGTGGGCGAGACGACATCTCAATGCCGAACCGCTAACTCCCGAGACTGTTCTGCATTTTCCTACATATGTCTAGACTTGTTTTGTAAATGTGTTCTGATCTGTTGTGCTGTGAATAAGAATCTGTGGCCCAATAGACAGGAACATCAACCTGAGGAGGTGTTTTCATGTTTCCATTTCTTATTTTGTAATTGTTTCCGTTGTGCTATGCAGTGCTGTAAAATAGTCTTGTTTTTTTTTTTTTTTTTTTTCTGCATCACAATGACATGACAAATTACGGTGCATACAGTAAAAGTGTAACTGTGAATCCTGTCCAATCTCTTGCAATGTTTACTGTAACTCTGTACTGTTGAAGTTGATCTATGCCATACAGAAAAAGTACAGCCTTGTGCATTTTCAATCATTGTCATCAAAAGTTTAGCCATAGTTTACCAATACAAATAGTTTTGCAAATGTACCAAACCAAAGCGACTGAATCAGAAATGCATTCAGTAATTTACTTGTGCAAAAAAGAAGTTCCTGACATTTCAGTGCTGCAATACACTTTTTTTTTCAGTTGTTTACATAGTTAACACTGGTACTTGAGACCCAATGACCACAGTCTGTAATTGATGTACCATCTCCTTGAACCAATTCTGCTAAAATATAAGCACATTTCCTGCTTTACATTCAGCTTGCAGTTTTACTGTAAAACCACATTCAAAACATTACACATATTTCTCTAAAACATGAAATGGATATAAATGTTCTGCAAAGATTTTCTATGTATATCTGTCCAGCTACAGCAAAAATGCAGGAAATTTGCAAACATTTTTTTTGAATGTGTTTTTAACAGTTTTGGACACAGTGTGTTAGTATTTGAAAAATGTGCTGCAGATATAGTGTTTTGCAGGTGGTGAAGTAGTAATGGGAAGAGTTCATGGATTTTGGAGAAAGTGGTCATTGAATGCATTTTGTGTGAAAGCAATGAAAAATGATTCACAGTTTGGTCCACATACACTTCTGTTTCGCTGACTGTGTGAAGAGTTTTGACAATGTGACTTCAATTTTGACCAATGCAGGTTGAGCAGAATTGGTTCAAGGGGTTGGTACATTTATAGCTTGTGGTCATTGTGTCTCAGATACCAGTTTCACTGTGCAAACAACTGAGAAAAACTGTACTGCAGGACAGAAATTTCAGGAACTTTTGTTTCACAAGGAAATTACTGAATGCAGTGATATAGAGAAAAAAAAGGATATGGAAGGAAATTTATGCTTTTCCGATTCTCGCTTTGGTACATTTCTAGAATCATCCTTAACATTTGCAAAACTATTTGTATTGGTAAACTAGGTTTGGATGAAAATGAAATTAACAGTTCAGAGTTTTACATTGCAAGGGATTGGACAGGATTCACAGTTACGCTTTTACATCTTTTCTCAAAAGACTGAAAAATTGCTTTTACATATGATGTGCACAAGTTACTGGGTGATGTGAAGCATGAACAAGTAGAATTTCAGTTCTGATCTGAGAAAATGACTGAGAACAACTGTATTCTAGAATGAAATACTGATTTATCTGAAAATATCAGTCACATTTCGAAGATAAAAGTTCATCAAATTTACATCGTGCTCCCTGTTGTCAGTGTTTTGTAGGTCAGTGTGTTAAGAGTGACAATGAATGCTTTCTGAGTGAGAACTGTCCCCAGTGTTTTGATTGAACGCGTTTATTTTGAGACTTGTATGAAGTGTTTTGGTGGTTTCAGTGACTTTTGGAGGTGAGATTAACTGTTTGGCCAAGATGCATGTTGGTAATGCAGACTGTGGGAAGAGTTGAAAAAGGGGCTTCAGTAGTTGTTGGGTTTTCATGTGTCCGAGCAGGGGACACATCCTACCACCCATTTTGGTGCACTTTGAGGAGAAACTGATTAGAAACTAATTAGGCAGACAAAGGGTTGAGAGGGGCGGAGGTCAGACCTGCCCCCGCTCAGTTAAATACAACCAAATTGACCATATACTAAAACATCTCTTCCCCCATTCATCATCCAAAATGTTGAATCAACCAACAGCTACACATTCCCTCCTCACTTTCTCCCTGCATTGTCTCCTCTCACTCCCACCATTGTTGCAGACTCTCAGCAATTATATCATTGGTCTTCCTTTAGGCTGCCTGAAAAGATGTTTCCTGGGAGCCATGATGGACTTGATGTGACACTGTGAGCTGCAGGTCTATCTGTGCAGCAGTTCATCCTCATCGCTCAGGACAGAAAGAACAACCTGAAATGTGATTACTAGGCATCTTTCTACTTCGTTGCTTGTAAAGATTATACTGCAGCATGCGTTTTGTTTAAGTGTGAATTTTTAATTTCATGCCTAAAAGAGCGCAAAATCAAGGATTTGATGAAATGAGCTGATTTCTTACTTTTTAATCAATCCATGTTAACTTTTTTTTTGTACATGGTCGGCATGTAAAAATGTGAAATCTTGATGCTGGCCTGAAAATAACCATCCACCACTTCAATTTAAAAATTTGATAAAGCAAAAGCACAAAGATTTTAAAGATTTAAACTGCCATTTTAACCAGGTACACGTGCTTCTAAAAACATATTATTTTGCAAATAACTGCAGCATTTTGGGGCCAACACTGTAGCACTGCAACAGATAGCATCTGCAACATCCATGGCATTCTGTAGTCTTTTCCAATTTCAGAAGGAAATTTCTGGTGAATATGCCCAGCAGTGACTTTGATTAAAATAAATGAGAAAATCCATTTGTGATGGCACTCCTGCCCCCAAATACCCCCACCCCACCCATCTGCATCCTGATCGTTGGTGAGAAACAAGGGTTTGCTTTTCTCGTGTATTACAGCCCGCACACTCCATTATTCTCTCTAGCCTATATTTCTTCCCCGAGTATGGTATTTTTGTTTTTCATGGGTGGAGAACCAATTCAGGAACAAATGACTCAGACCTTCTCGGATGATAATGATTAATGTGAAGGAGATAATGAACTGATTCCCTTCATTAATCAGAAAACAAAAAAACACATTTGAGAACCAACTACACCGTCTACATATTAGTCATGTTTTGTTTTTTTGTATGAGAATAAACTGGAGACTTACTATAAAGGTTTATTTTCCATCTACTGATTTTTCAAATTGCCAGCAGATCCTGCCAAAAGAAAAGACAAAGTACTGCAAACACTTAATTTATTTCCCAGATGAAAACCAGTGTTTGTGTTGCCTTGTTTTCTCACCACCTGCTCCTCAGCTTGCAGTGTATTGTTAAAAAAAAATTATGGTACTCAATTCTTTCATATTCATTGTGTGAAGATGGGGCATCATACATGACTTGAAATACAGATGCAAGGTATTTAGGTGAGTACAAACTCATGTTAAAGTGTAAACTGACAGAGGGCAGTAAAGATCCACGTGCCTGCACAGTTTGACAGACGAACAATCACATTTCCTGCCATCAGCAGAAATATTCTTACGTGTAAATATGTTCTTCTAGTTTTGGAAGGAGCTGGTCCCACGTTCCAAGCTCTGTAGAGATGCATGGTGCTAGACAAGAATACTTGTCTGACATAATAAAAAAAATCAAAACCAATCCCTAAAAGCATGTTGTACATATACTTTAAAATCACCTCTCACATTACCACATTCACAGTGCTAATGAAGACAAAAGTAAACATAGCATGTGTTGTCGTTAGCCATCCTGACTGTTTATTGTCATTTACAAAGATACAAAAGCTATAACTGTTGACTCAGTTGTTTTTTAATCTTAGCTAAAATCTTTCCCAGGATGCAACTGCTGTGTTTATGTTGATTAATTACTCATCGCCTCTGGGTAATGTCCCTACAATCTTTTGATGCAGCTAAACTTACAGCAAGAAGTATAACTTGACTGAGAATGAAGAAGCAGGGAGCATGCAAGTGTGCGCGCATGTCATCATCACGTTTAAATATATATATATTCTCATGTGAATCACTGTCAGTTGTGGGCCAGAAAATAAATATGACACACGCTGGGGTGTTTCCTGGGTCTCAAGTGTTACGTGATTCTGCCGGGTGAGTCATTATGCCGTCAACAAGGAAAAAAGCAGCATCAGTGTCCCTGTCCTCCCACTCTGTCTCTGGGAATGATGCGAAGTTCAGAGCCATGTTTTAGAAACACATTCCCTGCAACATAGGACGAAACAACACATAAAGACCACATCCGTGTAATAACCAGCTGGGAGAGAAACTTTGACCTTCTCCTCAAAGGACAGAATTTCTACTCAGAAATGATGGTTTGTCCAAAATAGTGATGAAAAATACAGAAATTTGAATTTGTTAACTGTATCTGAATAACTTAAACCTTAATATAAAGATGAAAGAAAATAATCTCTACTTAAAATTCATAGATTTGTTTACAAAGTTGCACACGAGTCAGGTAGTTACGCACATTTGTATTAATTGTAGAGATTTCAAAACAAGATCAGAGATATCTGAACTGAGGGATATAATTATTTTGTGATGCCTATTTGTCCTTCTACAGTAGCCACTTACTCAGAAATCAGGCCCATTTTATCAGGGGCACACAGCAAGCTCATTTGAATAATTTATAATACTGTATTATGGAACCACAGACAGCAATTCCATTCATTTGTTCATTCATCCAGCAATCATGCCGAGATAATATAAGTATAATTCCCAGGGCCATCAGTATAGATGCACTGTTGATATGATAATGGCCTTATAGAGATGTGTAAAGAAAAGGTGATTGTAAAATTACACTGGATCAATTCCCACCATAGGAAGTAGAGTGGATGCAGTGTGAAAAAAAGGCAGTCTGACAGAGGTGTCTGAACTGAGGCTATTCTCGGCAGCACACAGCATGAATGTTACGCAGATAAAAAGCTGTTGTCGGTCAAAGCAGGCATTGCCTCATCCTGCTCTATGCAGAAAACCCAGTCATCCGTTACCCGTCTTTGTTGAGAATGATGACTTACATAAGGAGAGGTGGGCTACACTTGAAGTGCGAACCTCAGGGAACATCCAAGGGGGCCGACCCAGAGGAATAAGTGATTCACCAGGGCTCGGTAATAATGTGGGAATCTAAAGTCAAGTGAATTCTGACTGAATGCCTGGTGCATCTAGTTCACCTCCAGTCAGAGGTCACTTTTAAATTTTATTTAACATTAAATACTGCCTCCCGGGGCACTGCATCTATATTCATGAATCAGTAAACACCATTTCCATGCAAACAAGTATGAGGCCTGATTAAACACAGAGACATCATTTAAATTTGGATTATTTCTTTTACTAAAGCTTTTTTCTACAGAATTCATTTTCTTGGAAACGTATCTTTTTAGACAAGGGTTATACAGGCTTGCCATAGCTTTTTAGCTTTGATGCAGTGACCTCTGTGGGCTCTGAACTATTTATATATGTTGCAGTTCTGAAACACCACCAATGGATAATTAAGCATGATGTGACCTTGAATTGTGGTATATTATTATTATTATAATATTACAGCCCTTCTAAAAATAAACTTTAGGCATTTCCACTTTGCTAGACAATTCAGGGCATAGAGAGAGATGAGAAACTGACATGTGGCTTTAACAAACCCTTAAATTGATTTTTACTACTGCCTATGTCAGAGTGCATATTAGTGATCTGTGAAGCTGGTAACGACTGTGGTAACCGTTCCTGTTTTGTAATCCTGAACCAATGGTCGCTGCTTGGCATCTCTTGCCTGCCTTTGACATCCAGTAATCCCAATTTAACTTAATTGTTTCAAACCTGACTTAAGCAACCCTGATTATATCATTTGCTTAGATCTCAGATCAATTTGTTACATTACCTCAAGTAAGACGTTTCATATTAAGCCCTACGTTACTTTGAGGAACCACCCATAGAAGTCACTGCCTCGGGGGGCTTTATCAAATTAATCTTTTAGACCATTAAGACAACGCAACCAGCTTATCAGACTGCATTATGAAACATTATTTATTCAAGTTCTGAATTAATTCCTTAGATTATTAATGCTTTGATGAAAGCACATAGACAAGTGGCAAAGAGCTTAACAAAAAGCCCTGAGGTTGATTATGCTTCTAAGGACCAAAAGGAAAAACAAGATATTACCCCAACTAAAGAGGCTTTTGCGGAGATAATAAAACAATAACAACCAATTTTTTTTTTTTTCTGTGGAAAAAGTCTTCTTTTACAGATTATCAAGGCATGAGCTCCCAAACAACTCACCTGCTGTCTGGGCAGGGTTGATTCCTATTCCGTCTGCAAAGTCAACCATGAAAGAAAGAACATAAAGTAAACACAAAAGATTGTCATGCAAGTGAATAGCACAGAAATGAAAAAGCTAATTTACAATACCACCAGTTTATCCAGAATGATGTTGTACTGGGCAACACAAATGAGAGTGTGCCTCAGCAGCAGGCAATTACATTCATTCTGTACAGAAAACTCATATTTGACATGGCAGTCATATCTCAGTCATTTTAACAGAAATTTCATCCCAGTGTTATTTGGCAACTGTCACATGTCCAATGCTTTGCCACTACAACCCTCCAAAATTTTAACTTTTCATTATTTCAGAATATACGTCAGTCATACTGTTTGTGAATGTCCTCTAAACTTCTCTTTCTTAGTTGCCTGCCTGTACAGAGCAGAGGTAAACAAAAGCATCATAGGTTTGTATGCCACACTGAACAGTTTAATTGATGGGAAACAGTGAAAGCTGACAATTTTCCTTTAACAGCCACAAAGACCATTTGCTGTAATTTGTTTGGGTGATTATTATAACAGTGGTTACAAGTGTTCTGTACGAGGCCGAATATTTTTACATTTTACAGCCTCGGGTTATTGTAGACATGCATCATTTGGGTAGTTGATAGAAACTCTTTCCTTATAGGCCTTTATTTTGCCAGCCAGAACTCAAACCATTTGAATTTAGTTAAATTAGCCTGAGTACTGTAGTACAGTGAAATCTTTTAAAAACTA